ACCACAACAGAAGCTCACCCTTGCTTCCAATTTGAGTTTCGCTGCATGTCAACTCGCCCAATAGGGTCATCCTTGAAAAGTCCTTTGTTCTTATTAACATTCACCAAACCTCTGCTGAACTTAAGACTTGCCCAAATATGCTAATGCATTTAGAAAACCTTTGCCTTGCAGTGCTTCACCTGGAGTATCAAACAGGGAGGAGGGAAGAGACTCAGCAAGAGACGTAACGAAGGGGGAAAAAAAACTGAATTAAGTGCCTTGCCAGAGCTTGCAATTGGCTTCAACTTTTATTGAATATTAATGACATCCATTTTTTAGTAAGGTGAAGAGAGGGGAGAAGATTCCAAGCCAGGGTTATCAACAGAGCTTGGGACCAGGAAACTCACTCTACTCAGAAGCTACCTTGAGGTCCCCTTGCGCGACAAATCCCCGCTTTTTTCAACATGACACGCTTCTTATCAAAGGCGCAATTTAATATTTATGATAAGAGGATTCTCCCCCAAAGACAAAAAAAAAAAAGTAACTTGTGTTCCTTTCATTTGTATTTTAAATAAATAATGAGAACATTGAAACACATTACTCTTTTTTTCCCTCTCTCTCTCTGTTCAGGACCCCAAGGTCGGTTAATCTTATTATTTATGAAGTGATGTGCTACTTTATGGTACTTAATGCATGTTAACAGATGCTATTATCACAGCCGGAAGTGGAGAAGATATATAGGAATGTGATGTGTTCATACTGTCCTTGTGCTGTAATGCAACCAGGGATTGAGTGCATGAGAAGGTAGAGCCGTAATTAACCGCTTTCCAACATGGGTGTGAACTTGACACACAGTGTCCCCTCGGTGTTCCTCCGTCATCAATAATCCCCAGGAGAAATGGTGTCCACTTTTGGATAGGTTTTGTTTCATCCTTTTCTCAAGGGTCAAACGTGGCCAAGCGATCATGCCCATTAATCATTGGAAGGGTGTTGAAAGCATTAATCGGTTAATTGCAGGGCCAGTCCCTGAACTCTTTGGTTGCAAATGAAGATGTGGAATTCTGCTTTATGTTAGTTTGGGCACAATGGTAGCCTTTTGAAGATGTGGTCCTTTGGAACTGAGTGTTGTGGTTCACCGGAAGCCTGTGCAGACAGCAGCAGAATCGGACAGTGGGGAAGAACGGGGACCAGTCCAGGAGTCTGAGGAGGATTCGGACGAGGGTCCTGAGTCTGATGCAGAGATGGGGCCAGGACCATCTGGGAGTGGAGTGCTGCCTTCGGAGCCTCTGGAGTCTGGCAACAGCAAGGCAGAGGAACAAGGGGAGCCTGTTCCCAGGGCGCGTCTGCACAGAGCTGCTAGAAGGCAAGAGCAGCTGAGACAAAAGGGGTGACTCGGGAGTAAGGCTTGGAGGTGATTGCCCCTCCCATGAGGTATAAAGGACAGGCAAAGATAGAGAAATCTTTTCAGGAAGCAAAGTCGTTCTCTCTGTTTGGATTAAACCTTGCAGCTCTGCGTGGACTTTGTCCTTTGGTTGTTTTTTTATGGTTCATTTGGCACTTTAATTGTTGGCAACAATTCAAAGGAGATAAAGGTGGGTGCTTATCTCAAGGGACTGTTTGGGACTCATTACGGGCTGGGAATGAAAATAATTCCCAGCATTGAAATAAAACAAAAGTTGTTTTAACTAAGCATGTGCTTAATTACTGTCTCAGGAAGCCTTGACCAGAACACCAAGGCTGAGTACTGAATTAACGTTCATTCATTTGATGGTGTTCTACTGTGTGGTACTGTTATGGCGTAATTTTAAATATTCTTGTAATATTGCCATGGAGCAATGGCAATCAATTTTCCATACATGTGAAATGTACAAAATGTCATCACTAACTTAATTGCCTGTCTTAATTAGAGGCTGGGATAGGGGTACCAATTAAACATCGTCGCTAGTAAGAACCTAAACACATCAAATATCGCGATCTGGAAAAAAAAATGATAAGAAGTGTAATAGAAGAGTATCTATGGAGGCCCTCAACCATCCAGGTCATGGTTGTCCCAAAGGCAGTTGGACTTCCTTGGGTTTTCTCTTCCAAGAAGCTTCTTCAGGTCAGTGTAAAGGAAGAGATTAAAACATCCCAGTATATGAGTGCCTCTCCAGATGTTACTGGATCCCTACTCTGAGGAACGTCAAATTTGTGGCCAACGATGAAGGATGCTAAGGGTTGGAAAGAGGTTTTGGGGGGCCTTTAGTGCAAGTGGGAAGTGGATTATTGATCGAAATGGCATTTCTACTCTGAGGAACACTAAAACTCAAAAGATCTGAAGGGTCTTTGATGCTTTCTGAGCCTGGTTGTTTTCTTACAGATGTTTCATACCCAATGTCAGGATTCCAGCAACTGACCTAATGAAATCATGAGCTTTGAGCCAAACTTCAAAAAGCTTCAAATAATTCATTAGGAGCTACATATTGGCATGACCTGGACGCAGCCCATTCCGAGACACTGTCACCCCTGAGCCTGGTTTTCCCCCCACCCCTCTGGGTGTATCATAATTCATATTTCCCAATGAAACACATCCACAGCCAAGAGTCATCAATCATGTTCTCCAATTGGAGTTTTCCGTTAGTATAATCTTTGCAAGGTACGCATGGAATGTACTTTCACTTCCAAGCTGCTGCCCTGTTCTTTGAAACGCCTTCCCCCCTTCTGTTGGCAACTATAAAACGGGCATAGAAAATGTTTTATGAGTTGACACCCAGACTAAGTCACATCATCAGTGTTAGTGGTCAGTGCTAGATGAGAACTGGTGATGTTACCTAGTTTGGCTAATGAAACATCTGCAAGGAAAGCTCATAGAGCATCAAGGATTCCTCATTTCAATCCTGACCTACAATTGTTTCCCTTTACTGTTAATCAAAAGAGCTCCCATATTGTCTCCTGTACATAACATGGAGACAAATGTATTGTACAGATAAAGAGATGTTTTCAGAAGAACGCTAGAAGAAAGTCTCTTCCCCTTGAATTGAGGGTTGAGCCCTCAAATATCTGGACAACTTGCCTCGATTGTAACTGGGTTTATCCCAACTGTGGGATGTTGCTTTTTATGTAAGCTGTCCACCCACAGCTACATCGGACAACTTCTGATATCAATCTCAGCCTACATGACTCTCGGGCCAGTTGAAGCTGGGTGGAATAATCCGGAATTTTTAGCTTCTAATGAAAAGCAGAACATCAAATCAATTCAAATCTCTGACTAGGGTCATAGAGCAGCCTAACTCTACAGCCATAGAAAGCGGCATTGAATTTTTAAAAGGATAAAACTGGAGAAGGCTGGATTGCAGAAAGTGGCAGTAAATTTAATCTAGATCTAGATTAAAAACAATCTCTAGATTAACATTATTTCCACCCATGTCCCAAACCCCAGCTTTACAAAGGTCTCCCCCAACTATTTTTCCCCCTTTTAAATCCGTACCAATAACTCACCTTACCCTAAACTCCGGAAGAATCGCTTTTCCCCTTTAAAACCTCAAACAAAGCTATCTAGAAAAAGGGTGTTTTTTGAAGATTATCTTTCTTCTCGTATTACAAATAACCAAATCTGTCTTCGACTTTGCATGCTTTCTTAAGCATCAGATAATGAGCCAGCAGTTGGCAAATTAAAACACACAGCGGTAAAAAAACAACAACCCTAAGATGGGAAACATTAAGTGGCTACAAATTCACTAGTACAAGGAGAATTAAATGGCAGCCTTTATTACTACATAATCTTTTGAGATGGGTAGGTTTACCACTCATAAAATCTCCCTGCACAGATTCAGTTGCTTATGATAATTAAGCTCCAGACCTGCTGATGAAGATCCTCTTTAATAAGAAACAGTGTAATTCAAAGGGTTCCTCTGAGAACGTAGCGACCGCTAACCTCTTAATTTAATTTTGCTCTGAGTTTCGCCCATCTATTCATCAGAAGAAATTATTACCCTTCTTCTACAACCAGCCAGCCCCCACCCACCGCTTTCCTCTTCCCTTTTGCCAATCTCTCAGATTTACAAGCCACCTCCTGCAATATTATTTAATCTACCCTGTGACCTTAGCTCAATAAATTTGGTTTAATCTCCCTCAATAATCTCGTAATAATGCAAAAACTACAAACTGCCGGTAGGAAGCAAACACTCCAGATAAGACATGAAGAAATGATTTGCCATGAAAATGCGGGTAGGTTGAATTTTCTTTGTGAATGAGCTGCTATTCAGGAGAAGGAAACAGATTTAAAATTAATCAGACAATAAAACATATCCCAATAAAACGTATCCTTTGACATCAATGAAAACTAAGTTGGACATTCTGGTCTAATTGATTTAAGGGAGTCTAAGCAAGATTAAGTCTGAATCTAATATATGATGTCTGTTTCTCTTTCCAACACACTTCTGAAACCTCGCTTTCCGTTATTTGCAAAGTTTCTTTTGCAAAAGGGCCTTTTTTTCTTTTTTTTTTCCCCCTCTCAGTCACAGGGTGTTTTAAAAATGCTAAATTTTTTGAATTTATTTTCTTGTTGCGAGACGACAAAAAATGGTTGCTGGTTTTATGTTTTTTTTAACGACAAAGAATGTTGCTGGTTTTATGGTTTTTTTTAAATATATGAACCTTGAAGTCTCTCTTAAATTACAAATAAGAGGCAAGCAGTTACAATTTACAAACCACGGAATGGACAATTAGATATTGAAATTTGAACACCGACTTTATACTTTCGAGTTTCTAATATCTAAGAACTCTGTGTCTGTGTCTACAATTACACCTGATTCCTCTTTGGAGAAAAAAAAAAATCAAAACAAGTGAAAATGATTTCTTTCCCGTCAAACTGAATATGTTCCGTCTGCAAAGAAAAACCTGCAAAATAAAATTTCTGCATAGCGCCAATTCCTCCAGTGCATTTAGTGTGATTTCCTGAGGTTGCGTCTTAAAAAATTAAACCTTGAACTGCTTCCAGTAACTAATTTCCAATCTTTTTTTTCTCTTTTTTTTCATTTTAGGTGCCATTCCCCACTTTCAGAAAAGTTACCAGATGATGAGAAACCGAAATGCCAGCCTTACTGGGAGGGCAATGACCCCAGCATGCCATTACCTTTTGATCTCGAGGATATAATATTTGAACTACAGACAATGCTGGAAGATTAGAAAAGCTTTATCAGAAACTGGAGTTGGGAGTCCCTTTGTTAAGAAGCACCAAAGACGACCAATGAAAGCAAAGAAGTCTGTTGATTAATTGTAGATTTAATATTCGGTAGCATGGTCAGTTGAGAAACAAATCAAAAAAGGGTTCTTTGGTGTTCTCTGAGCTTGGTTGTTTTCTTGAAGACATTTCGTTACCCAACTAGGTAACATCAGCAGGGCTAGGAGGGAGGGAGTCTGCAGAAAGGAGGAGGAGGAGGACTCTGGAGTTCTTGGTGCTCTCTGAGCTTTTGTTGTTTTCTTGCACGTGTTTTATTCAATCCTGAGCTACAAACATTTTTGATCGATCAAAAAAGACATTTTTGGAGCAGGATTATGAAAGGTAGATTACCTGGAATCTGTTTTGGAGCTAGAAACTCAAGCAATATCCACACCAAGGAGCATTTCAAATAGGTCATGAGAAATAAAGGACCAACTGATGCCCTGTTTTATTGATGTTTACCGATATTTAATGATGTTTTGGTCTTTGGTTGCATGACAAAGAAACACCATCGAGTCACCCAAGAAATCAGGAATCGTATTATTCGGGTTGAATTAGAGTCCCATCCGACTCTATTATTCTGCTTTCTAATTAAGTCACCTTCTGAGATCAATGAAATTATATTTTGGCCCAGCAAATAGTGGTCACACCTGATTGTGATCTTCATTGGGAGTAGGTAGCTAGGAGAAGATTTCCCGTAATTGTTTTCTTTCCCTTGAGCAAGCACAAACAGGATTTTGTCAGTCAGAGGGTGGGCTGCACAGAAAGCGCATTGATGATGCAATTGGGACTCTACCAAACCATGGTCATTGTATGCCGTATGTCTTTGCTGATGAAATCTGAATCTTCCATAAGGAGAACCAGGATCAGATGGCGAAGGAGTCCTCCTTTCCGATCATATTACTGAATTGCAATGGGTACCTGTGATGACCCGGAGTGTAACACAAACGTAACAAAATCCAAAATGTAAATAAATGTCCTTTAAGGCCTCCAACTTGGCCCCACTGTTCAATAATTCTCAGCTGGAGATAAAATGTACTCAAAGATAGTCTTTAAAAGAAAGCAATACAGTCTGAACTTAATGAGCAGATAGAGGTGAAATTAAAAAAACCCAAACAAACTGCAATGAAGAAATTTCCACGACAGACCAGGATAAGTAATTACCAACTTCAAGGAGATAACAAGGCACAGTCTGTTGGAAGGACACCAACCAAGAAAACTTCAGCCCAAAATAAAACACGCTTTGCTTCTGGCAACGCTGTGTTGTAACCGTCTTCTTATATACTATTCTCCCCAGCTGCAACTAATGAGGGGGATTATGGCCACTTCCTCTCTCGTAAGCCAAGTTGTTTCCTTCTCTGTTCCTCCCTGCATGTCCTAGGGTGAAGAGAGGATGGGCCTGGTTCCTCCCCTGGCTGCCCAGCCGGCCTCAGACCTTCCCCAGCCTCCTCCACAACCTCCGGAGCCTCGACTCCCTGTCAGCTATTCCTTCTCTCCCTCAGAGTCCGACTCTACCAAGGGCATGACAATACCTTTAGCAAAATCCTGTTTCTGGACTTAGACCACCTTCAATTTTTTTTTATCATTGTTGCTGGACAAAATGGTAGGGAAATCAGTCATCCCACTTCCCCCCCCTCCTTCCCCCCCCCACACGCATGTGTCAAGCTAAATGGATTACTGAAGATACAGATCTGTTTGCCTGTCTGCACTTGCCTTTAGACAATATTCATCAGTTCCACAAAAAGCTCTTGATTAAACAGAGAAGCCAAACAAATGTCAAGGTTCAAAGCAAAAGGTCCTTTGTTCCCATCTCGCAATCCTCAAATCGGACTGAT